AAACGGTGGGCCAGGCTGTCCGAGTGCGCAATGCGAAACAATGGTAAGTCATGCGAAAGAATGCCGAACAAACTAACGCATTGCCAAGCAATGCTTCGGAATACCAAACAATGCAATGTCAAGCAATGCCGCCTTGGCTTTAGAAGTGCACCGAAAACTGGTTCGCCACGGATGTATTGGGAATGTTGTTGCAAACCCGGTGTTCGGGTCAGTTTGGTTTAATTTGCAGGGGCACGCCTTCCGGAAAACGCATGTCCATGCCAAGGAATGACGTTCGGGGTCCGTCGCACGCCCGCCACGCGGGCTCGCTCGTAACCCTATTTGCTATGTCGCGCAATGCAAGGCGAAGCAACGCCTTTCGTTCCACAGCGTTTCTTTCATTTATCTTCGATTTCGGTTTGCGTTGCGAACCATTCCCCGTCTGCCGCGGTTTTTGCGGTGCGGAGGTTCTTCTTTGGAGAACCTCTTGGAAGGGGCCCTGACGACTGCCACGCAAGGGTTTGGGAGACTTCTGGAAGCCTCCTAGGCACCTCTCTGGTCCGTCTCGGGGGTCCTTTTGAAGCCCGTCTGGGCAGTCTTGGGCCCCTCTTTGGCCGTGTTGGGGCTTTGTGGGAGAATGTGGATCTTCTACGGGCCTTCATGCGACTATTTTGGGCCATCCTGGAGACCTCTCATGGACCTCGTGGGCCTCTCTTAGAAGCCTCCTGGGGGCCTCACGAGTTCCTTCTGAGCCGTTTGGGGGCAATCTTGGGGCCCTGTCGGGCTGGCTTGAAGCCCTCGTTGGGGCCTCTTTGGCCGTCTTGGGGCGATTTCAGAGGCCTTTAGGGCCGTCCCAAACGCTTGGTACGACACAACCAGCGAATATGTTGCAAACGCACGTTGTCCGAAAGGGGAAGTGACAATGTTGGCTCTTGGGGCGTCTTGGGGGCCTCTTGGGCAGTTTTTGGGGCTTCGTGGGCCGTTGAGGCCGTTCTGCCATGTCTTGGGGTCCTCCTGCACTTTTCTGATTTTGCGGTCTGCTGGGCAAGGCCGACAAGGCGCCCTGGCAGGCGCGGCGGGGTCGGGTGACCTCTTCGAAGGGCGGCCGCCCTCCGTCGGTATCCAGGCCAATAGCGCGCGCCGACCTTGGGCCAAGATGGCCCTGGCCAAGCTTCGCATGGGAGTCTCGGTTGTGGCACGAAGGCCGCCGCGCGGGACAGAGGCCGCCACCATCCCGACTAGGAAATATTGCAGCAGCGGCCGCATGTTGGCGAACGTTGGGACATTGTTGCTCGCGACTTGTTTCTGGAAGTCAGTCGCTCGATCTTCCCGGCCATTCGCAGTGGGTATGGTAACCTAGTTATTTTGGCCTTTGACACCCCCCTCTGAGAATCTCCTGTGGCCGGGCCCCGGAATACCCTGAACCCAGCCCGATGAGACCCATCCGCGCTTGCGAAGAGGCACGACAAATACAACACGGCAAGAGAAACACAAAGAGCAGGAGGGGGTGGAAGAAGGAGGCGAAGGACGGGGCAGGAAAGGGGGAGAAAAGGGGGACGATAATTGAGCAAAAGGAAAGGAGATTCAATGGGCTTCCGCCGCATCGGCGTTCATGGGGCTTCCGCCGCATCCGCGTCATCATGTGGTTTCCGCCGCGTCCGAGATGTCACTCGGCTCGCACCTCATCCGCAGACCCTCTTCGCCGCCCCGCGGCGCGAGAAAGTAGCGACAATCTCGCGCGTGGTAACGCACATGGGGCCCATAGTGCGGCCCATATAACGTGAAGCAATACGCGGTTCTGATTGCGCACACGCACGTGCTCGCGCAAGCTTGCGCCATGCGAAGATGGTTTGAGAACGGCCAACATAATTTGGATCACGGGACGCTGAATCCAAGCGCTTTATCATTATTATGAGTTCCCGTATGCGATGATCTATTGTGACAAGCTCACGGGCGCCACGTGCCACCCCATAAACTTAATGTTGAAACACGATACTTGAATTTGCATGCTGGGTCCCAGCAAAAGATGGTACATTGTAAAACAGTCGGGTTAAAAGTGTCACTCCGAAAATTGAATGGTGAAAACCATAGGTTACATGTGTATGCTGGGCCCCAACATGAGATAACAGATTGTGGGAAACTCTCGCGTGACACGTGTCATCCCGAGAATTGTTTAATGTCTAGCCTGGGCTCCAACATGAAATAGGACATGTTGTTGTTTTATTTCAATTATTTGTTCAGAAAACACACACACACACACACGCGGGTCACAAGTGCCACACACGGGTGGCATTTGACGGGTGAAAACCAATCCTTATATCCGCAATTTGTTCCCCAGCACGATGTTATATAGCCTCAGACAATCACGTTCCTTCTTGCGGGCGTGCGCGCACATACGCGCACGCGCGCTGCGCCATAGGGAAATCGATGAAACGTGGGGAACTTAATTTCGCACATTGAAAAGTGAAAAACCGGTTGTGCCGAATGCATGTCGGGCGAAGACATGCATATGCATATCTATACATATTTATGTGTGTATTTGTGTGTATATATACATATATGTTCATCTCATTGTGCAGCCAGTCAATTTTCTGAGTGCGCACGTGTTCGCGCGTAGGCAAATGTACGCGTGCGCACGCTGCGCCATATGGAAAGCGATAGGACGTGAGCATCTTAACTTCAAAAAGTGAATGGTGCAAACGTATTATTTCATTTAGCAGTCTGACCCCAAGCAAAAGACTGAATGTTATCAGCCCGTGTTGTTCTTTCTTGCGCGCGTGCGCGCACCCGCTGCGCCGTATGTAAAGCGATAGGCGTGAACATCTTGATTTAACAACTGAATGCTGAAAGCCGTTTGTTCCACGTGCGTACTAGGCCCAACCATGATAATCGATATATTATCCATATATTACTTACCTGATTGCGCGCGTGCGCGCACGCGCACTCGCGCTGCGCCATATGGAGACCGATAGGGCGTGAGCACTTCAATTTCATCAGCTGAACGGTCGAAACCAACTGTTTCTCCTACAACATGTGCCTCATGGATGGTTATATCAACGCGGAAAGTGATTGGTAGAGTATATAATGTGTCATGTTTGGGCCCCGAGTTCAAGTGGAACCAGTGGTTGTCCCCATTTTTTTGGTATTTAATGCTAGTTCTATCGATTACCATATGTCGCAGCATGCGTGCGCGTACGCGCGCGTATTCGCGCAATCAGGACAGCGATTGACTGACAGTATATAAGATCCTGCTGTGGTCCACAGTGCAAGTGGAACAGTTGGTTTTAACGATCATCGTTAAAGTTAAGATGCCCCGCGCCCTATTGGTTCCCGTATGGCGCAGCGTGAGTGCGCCTACGCGCGCACACGTGCGCTCATGCGCGCACGCGCGCAATCAGGAAATTGTTGCACTGATAGTGGATCATTTTACGTTGTAGCCCACAATGCAAGTGAAGCTGTGGGCTTTTACCATTCTGTTTATGAGTTTAAGATTCTCACGTCCTATAGTTTCCAAGTTGGCGCAATGTGAATGCGCGTGCGCGCGCCCGCCCGCCATAAGGAATGTGCTTGGCAGATATTTTATAGTACACGTGTAAAAATATGCATGTGTAGATTTAACATATCATGTTGTGGCTCAGAATGCACATGGCAAGCTTGGCTTTCATCGTTCAACTTTTGAAGTTAAGTTGTCCACGTCCCATTGACTTGCATATAGAGCAGCGTGCGTACGCGTACGCACGCGCACGCGCACAATGAGGAAATTGATCGACTGAGACTATGTAGTATCATGTTCGGGTCCAGAATGCTCGTGAAACAAATTGTTTTTACTCTGGAATTTCTGGGGTGACGCGTGGATCATCCTCTTGGCGGCGGCCGATCATCGCGGGCAGCATCGGTGTCAAGAAGGATCCCTCGCCATCTTGATCACCTCGTCTTGTTTCTCCCCTCGAGCCAAAATGCGAAAGAGATCCACAGCCTCAGGCTCTCGCCTCGGCACCAGGCCCTGGCCCCTGCTCCGGCCCCGGTCCCAGCCAGGGCCCCAGCTCTCCCAGCTCTGTCAGGCCCCGGCCCCGCTCCGGCGCCGAGCCTTCGCCCGGACTCCCACCCGGTTCGGATGGGGAGAGGAGGATATATGGCTTTACCAGACCTCCCCCCCGTTTCCGGGGCAGACTCCCCCGAGGGCCGCTCCCGGGAAGGGACGGGGGAGGGGAAATGTTACCCCCCCATCCGTTTCCAGGAGGGGGGGGTAACATTTTCTACAGTCAAGCGACGGTAGGTCGCGCTCTTTCAAGAATACATATATTTATGTAGATATGTGTTTGTATACATATATACACATATATTCGTGCACACATACACATTTACGCGTACACATATGCCGATACAGTTTCAGCACACAGAAAGCGCTTGGCTAGGTTCATATTGAAAACGCCTTTGGAGTGTTTTCAGCGTGTTCGATGTTGGGCTTCTGACAGGTTGTAGTCGATAGAGCAACGATTTTGTGTTGTTGCGTTGACAGTGCCGTTTTTAAATGCTGTTTTCGTTATTCTATCCATCGACGGATCGGGGGCTGACGCCTCCTTTCCGTGCGCAGACCTGCAAACGGTAAAGAACACAAGACAACGCTCTGACACCGGTCTGACACTGGTGCGAAACAGGCCTGGAAGTCGACGGACCGTCCGCGGCCGGTTCCGACGATGGAAAAAATCACAATTCAAAACGCTCATTAATCTTTGTTTTAGCGTTCTCGGTTTCTTGTTGAGACTTGAAAAATAACGAACACATCGATTCCCAAGACGCCGAGTTGGAAACCGTGAAAAACAAACGCCAAGCGCATACTCAAGATGACAAGGCGCTTGGGGGCCCACGCCGACGCGCGCGCGCACATCGCCGCGGGCCCATCCTGCATGGAACAGGAAAAATCAGTCTGCCTCGCGTGTGCGCGGGCCCATCAAGTGTGGAAAGCACAATGCGCCTGGGGCCCTTCCCAGATAGAAGACATGCCAGAGGAAGGGAGGGAGGCCCTTGAGATGATCTGGTACTTGGCCCAGCACCGCTCGGACGTGCTGATTTATTATGTCGGCCGCGCGCTTGTTATTTGAGGCACACAGCTTGCGTGTGCTTTTGCACGCCCCTTTGATGCACTTGCTCCTTTATTTGTTTTTCTTGGTCGGACTGCTGTTTCGAAGGAAGACTGCTTCGTCCAGGCAGGCGGCGCATCGACTACCCTGTACTGGCAGAGATGCGTTGGGATGAGGGGCGCGGGGGAAACGTGGAGACACGGGGATGGGGAGACGGTGAGGAAGGGGACGTGGACGAGGAGGAGGAGGAGGAGGAGGAGGAGGAGGAGGAGGAGGAGGAGGAGGAGGAGGAGGAGGAGGAGGAGGAGGAGGAGGAGGAGGAGGAGGAGGAGGAGGAGGAGGAGGAGGAGGAGGAGGAGGAGAGGGAGGACGAGGAGGAGGAGGACGAGGAGGAGGAGGGGGAGGAGGAGGAGGAGGAGGAGGACGAGGAGGAGGACGAGGAGGAGGAGGAGGACGAGGAGGAGGACGAGGAGGGGGCAGCGGGATGGATGTATGGGCCACAGGCGTGGGATGATGAGAGGGATCACAGACCCCGAAGGCCGTGCATGTCGGATCTCGGGGACCACACGCCTAAAAGTCGGTCGGGCAGGACCCTCTACAGGAGGAATATTCAGAAATAGTCCAAACATAGTCTGGGGACGAGTTTTCGATAAGTGTTGAGTATGTTTTGTCTCATCTGTCTTGCAAGATCCGCCTGTAGGAGGACATGCCCGACTTACGCCTGAGACCGATCCTGGCTCTGGCCCATCTTGGGCCTGGCATCGCTGCCTGCGCCTTTCTGGCTCGGCCGGGGAGGCACACATGCACCGATCCTGGGCCCAGGATCGGCCTGGCCACACTCGGGGTAGGTGCCGGCGGAGGCGAGGGCGCCCATACCGCTACCCTTCCCTCGTTTTCCCCTTGTTGGGCCTCCTGGGAGGCCCTCGTCGCCACTGCTGGACTCGCCTCGAAGTTCTGGGCAGAACGTACCCTGGGAGAGGTCCAGGCAATAGCGGCATTGGTACCTTTTGGTCTCCCCGAGGTGTATGGTTGGCGACCTCCGACTGTGGGATCGGAAGTGAACGGACAGAGCCACCTCGCCAATGACACGCTGGTTTCGTGGCACGCTGGGCCTCGACATGTGTGTGTCCAGCGCATGTCTTCCACATGTCTCACATGTGAGTTTCAGCCGCGTCTGTTTCCAGCATTTTCCAGGTTCCTGGTGCATGCTGGCACGTCAGTCTCTTACCTGATGTGCTCGAAGCATTCTAGATGCCAGAGTTGCATGTTGGAGTGTGCTCAGCGCAGCGCGAGCGGCGCCTGGTGAATCGTCTTCCCTCTGTGGAGCAGTTGCGGAAGCACTGGGGGGGCGAGGGGTTGGCAATTTGCGCACGCCAGCATGAGGAAAGGGGATCCTGGAGTGTTTGCGCCATTTCAGGCCGCCGCGGCCATCCTCAGGGACCTTCAAGAACGACCCAAGGGTAACAACCCAGTCTTATGCTAAGCCCCAGAGCCCAGGGCCCATGTCCACCACTTCCGCCATGACAAACGAGATACTATCTTGCACAGCTGTGCTCTAGAGTCCAGACCTATTGAGTTTCGTCGTTCGTTCTCTCCTGGCTTGCCCCCCCTCCCCTGGCCTACCCCTGGCCCCCTTACCCTGGCACTCTTGCTCCCCCATGGCCCCTCTGGCCCCCTCGTGGCCTGCTCCCCTTTCCCTTGCCTGCCCCTGGTCCTCACCCCAGCCCCCTCCCTCCCCCTGGCACGGGAGCCCTTGATTTTCGTCGTTCGTTCGTTCGTGGAGTTGCTCCAGTCGTTCGTTCGTTCGTCATTCTTTCGTGGCGTTGCCCCGGTTCTCCTGGACTGCCCTCTGCCCTCGCCTCAGTCCCTGGCCTACCCCTGGCCTTCGCCCCAGCCCCCCTCTGCTTCCACTGGCCCGCCCCCTCGCTCCCCCTGGTCTCAGAGCTTTTTTTTTTTTTTTTTTTTTTTTTTTTTTTTCTTCTGCACAGCTGTGTTCTAGAGCTCTGGCACATTTTCTTTCTCGTCTTTCGTTCGTTCGTGGCCTGCTACCCCTCCCCTGGCCTACCCTTGGCCCTCGCCCCAGCCCTCTCTCTCCCCATGGCTCCCTCGTGGCCTGTTGTTCGTTCACTCGTCGCTCGCCGTTCGTTCGTTTCTCATGGCCCCCTCCCACCTCCACCCCGCCCCTGGCTTGCCTCCTCTCAGGGGTACCTGCGGCCCGTACGGGGGAGCCTCTGCAGGGGGTCCTTTGACTGGGGAACTGTCTGAGGGAGCCTGTGACGGGTCTCTGAAAGAACCGGTTTTTGGGGAGGCCTCTGAGGCAAATCTCCGCAGGAGCGCCTTTAAAGTTGGGGGAGCCTCCAGAGGACCGTCGGGGAATTCTCTGGAGGGCCCTGAGGGGACCTTTGGGAATACCTCGGGGAAGGCATCTGGGGGAGCCACGGGAGGAGTCGCTCGTAGATGTTGATTCTCTTGCACAGCTGTGTTCTCGAGCTCGGAGCCCTTGCTTCTCGCCGCCGTCCGTTCATTCGCTCGTCGCCCCCGGGGCCATCTTACCCCAGTCTCCTCATGATGGGTCGTGGTGGTCCCAAGAGGGCAAGAGGACAGCCCCGACAGCTCCCCCCCTCCGGACCCCGCTTCTCCTGGCCCCCGCCCTCCCTCGCGCAGGAGCCGGGGCAGGCGTGTCACCTGTTGAGTCTTGTTTCTCGGGGGCGGCATCCACGCGGCAGCCCCCCGGGGGCAGTGGTGAGGTCCCCCAGGGCAAAAATTAGTGGCTCCCTCCTCGAGTTTCTTATGTCGGGCGTTCCAAGAAGGCGCTCGCCTTCGAGGACAGAAGGAGCTGTCATATCTTCCGCGGCGGAAGGCGGTGGATGGAAGGGCGGCGGAAGGGTGGCGGAAGTAAAACGAGGCCGCCTCCGCTGGCGGAAGCCGGCGGAAGCTCGGCAAAGCCTTGGCGGTTCAAGGATTCGTTTACCTCTACAGGGGGGCGGGGGGGCGCAAGTCCCCCCCCTGGCTGCACACCAGGCTCGCGCCTGGCCACGGCTGCCATGAGCGATGCCCGTGGACACGCTGGGCGCTGCTAGCGGCTGCCACGCCAGCGAGGTGAGCGTGCAGAGGCTGCCCGACTTCTACGAACAGCGAGCTCGAGACCTACGTGTCCCAGGTCTTGCTGGAATTAGGGCTTATGGGTGGCAAAAGGGCCTGGGGAATGGCGGTGCGACTAGCGGAGGTGACTGGAAGCAGCTGGTTTCGTGGCCAAGCATGATGCGACGACCTTCCCCTTTGTGGCCGATACTTTTTCGTGCACGCCGAGGCCCACCCGAGGGAACAAGATGAAACTGAACCACGTCATGAAAAGTATAGAGTTGCAGCGCTGAGCTTTTGATATCGGCTGACCGCTTGGGAGAACGATGCGACTGGCTCGAGGCCAGAAGATCGCCATACTTTGTTTCCAGGGCATTCTCATGGGAGGTACTGCGCCCTGGGCCAGCGCAGGATTTCGAATCCACCCCTCGCCGCGAAGATCGGCTCGAGCCAAAGCCGGGTGTCTGACGGCGCGCGATCTCTTATTCTTCAGCCCGCTTGAAGTTCGATGCGTCCACGAATGGCTCCCAGGACGATTGTTACGACGCAGAGTTCGAAAGATGGAGCCCAAGAGCGCGACCTTTACATTTTGAACGCGTACGCACCCACCAGCACTGTTTCTCACCGCGCTGCAGCGGCAGAACAAGACAGAGTGCAGGCAGGGCATCGATAGGCGCAGGACACAGTTTGGCAAACATGCGAGAATACTATTCGACGGGAACCCCAGAGGTCTCCACTGATATGGTTTTCGGGTTCCACTGGAACTGTGGCTTCTGAACTGCCCAACGTCGGACATGCAGGAGTCGACCGCCATCCCGCAGTGCCAACCACAACGGTGGCCACTTTCTGTCGATCTTCCAGAATACAGGCATGACGGCGTTGAACAGCCACAGCAGAAGAAAGGACAATGTCGGCCTTCGGCTTCGCACATATGGAACAACGTGGGATCATATCGAGTACGCATGAGCACAGTTGCAGGGTGGATATGGCCACGGCGCCAAAGTTCTCCGGCCCCTTCCAGTTAGCCTAGGTGACCACCGTCCGATTGAGACCAGCATGTCAGTTCGGCCTCGCTGCGAACATTCTCGACAAGACCCTCCCATCCGGTGGAATCGCGACTTGCTGCTATGTGACCTTCAGGCTGTGCGTAGCACGGACGAGGTCCAAGATCGTGTCAGAGATTTCCGCAATCGACTCCGCCGCGGACTACGGACCCGAGGACTTTACCGAAACTGGCAAGCAGAATGTGGCTCAGAGAAGCAGTATTCGACGACATCTGATTATTACAAGTTTCTCGAGGGCGCAGAGGTTGACGCAGCTTTCCCCATATACGTGGACAGTACCAAAGCGACCCCACAGGGAGACACGAACAAGGACATCTTGGCATTGATTGGGCGAAGGCAATTTTCCCAGATAGTGATTCCCAACATGTTGAATCTGGCTATACAAGTCTATCCTATCGGAGGTCCGCAAAAGCAGCGAAGCTGGCCAGGCATGCACTGCGTTCGGAGAAAATACAACATATCGCTGCCCTTGTTGCCGACGCAGAACGTGCAGACGCATTGCGCGAGACCCGACGCTGCGATTCCATCGTCAAGCGGCTACCCCCCAAGCCCAGCATGTCCACGTTGACGGTCCGCAACCCAACCACGGGCATCCCGTGCTTTGATGACTCCGAGGACCAGCAGGTTAGGGCAGAAGCTCCCTGCGCCATTTTCGAGGCCACAGAGTTGCCCATGAACAAGGACGGAGGCCCCGGGACATCCCAGTGGACCCCGACGGGGAGCCAATTGCTAGGTGCGACGTAGAGGATGCCACAAAGGCCCTCGACAAGCTCCCAAGTTCCGAGGGCGCTCCCGCATTCAGGTGGACGGACCCTATCGGCTTCGGCAGGGCCCCGTCAAGGCCCTGAAGGCGCCGCCGGTAGACTATGGAAGCTGAGTGCCGACCTCGTAGGGGCTCCTCTGCCTGTCGTTTTCCAGGCCGCCCAAGCTTTTCGCCGAGTCCCCCGAAGGTTTGAACATGGTGCGACGGCTTCGTTGCAAAGACCGAAGGGGTGGCGGGATAGACGCTGGGGGCAACTACAGGACCATCAATCTCATCAGGCGCATCGGAAAGGCTATCGCGAATGCGAGCATCGTGCTGGAGCTTCGGCCGATGGCGGGCCGAGTTTCAACCGCGCAGTTCGGAGCACTCAAAGGTCGAGCGACGCGAGGTGCGATTGCCATGGCCGATGAGATAGGACGGCCCTCGTCGCGCCAAGTCTGAGTATCGAATCCCGATTGCAGCATTGTTCGGCCTTGAGAACGTGAAGGCCTTCGGCTTATGTTGGTCGTAGTCAAGTCTGGGCGGCTTTGGAGAAGCGGGCGCTTCCCCGCGGCGCCCGCTTGGTCGCTGGGGAGTTATACATTGACACCTGCTATGTCCCGCGAGACGCTCGCACTGACGAGCGCGCAGGCAGCTTCTTCGTCGAAAAAGGTTTTCGTCGGGGTAGCGTAAAAGGGTCTAAGTGTATCCATTGCTATCTACGGCCTCATTACCAAGGGCGCAGGTGCGAAGGCGGCGGGGGAAAGGGGTTTGCGGGGGCCCAGGTGAAGTATGCCCCAGTTAAAGGTAACCAGGAATTTGGCCGACTTCACGGCTATCGAGTTGCACGAGCTTGACGCGTCCCAGGTCAAGTTTGTAGATGACTTCATCGCGTTGACCGTTGTCGACAACCTACATGCAGTCTCCTCCTGCTTTGGCTTCCTGAGGGCACGCGCTAATGCCAGCGGCTTAACCATGACCGCTCCGAACACCGAGCTGCCATTGAGCTTTGCGGGGATGTGGCGCCGCAGGGCTTGAAAGAAAAGCAACGCCAAGCAAACTGGCACTAGCGCGCTCTGCCCATATTGCAAGGCTCGCGCGGTCCATCCGACGCAGTCTTCGCATTCCGCCGAGGTCATGGCCCGCCGTGCTTCTGCCCGCCAAGCCCACGGCCGGTCGCCCCGGAAGGCGCTGGAAAAAAAAAAAAACAACCTCAGCATGCGCCTCGCGGGTCGCTTCTGGAATCCGCCTGCACGCCTCATAGCGCTGCGCGCGCTAGAAGTTTCTTGTTCTAGCGCAGATGGATCTCAAGAAATTGGAGCGATGGCAGACCAGGCAACTTCGACATCTACCCCGACCCCTAGCTCACCTATTTCATATTCCCAATGCTGAAATACGCCGTCGAGCCAAGGTCTCCAGCGTGAGCTCTAGCCTACTGCATCGCAGGTTGCAGTGGCGGCGGCATGTGCTTGTCCCTGGGCTT